GCCTTCTCAAAGGCTTAATTCAGCGCATCGGCTCATTTTGGAAACAGGATGGCTGCTCTTCATGGGCACTGTCTATGGCCTTAGTGTCACTGAATGGAGTCTCTTGACTTGGTCTTGAAAGTGCTTCAGTGCCACGGAATTGTAAACTACATATTTACGTACCAGAGAGTCAGCTCCAAGGCCATCCTTCTGCAAAATTATTTAATTCTTTCTGATTCTATAAAAATCAATCTCCAAATCCCAACAATGCTCTGGTTTACTAAGAATAATGTCAGAAAAGAAAAGAAAATGACCCCACAATATATATTTATGGTTACTAACTGAATTAAACACATGGAATAAACACGTGGCCTCTAATTTTAAATTTCCTTAATCATAGACAATCTTATGTTGTACTTTCTCACAGTACCATGCAGTTTCTTACCAAGAAAGCTGCAATGTACAGCTGAACAATGTAGATGATGGATTATTTACTGCAGTAAAAGGAATTTGGTCAGCTTTATGCACAAATTCATTTGTAGATTCTGCTACAGATTATCTTTTGAGGTAATAATGTTAGGGAAACATTTTCATTCTAATTACAAAAAAGTATTACTTGGTAGAACTCAAATACCTTAAAGTAAATTGTGGACTACATTTAGATTTTAGATTTTTATGTATAGAATTATTTATATTCCAGATGAAATACTTAGAGCTAGATGCATTTGTTTAATTATTGTACATACTAAAATGTATAAAATATTTGCCAATACACTCAAAAACATAAATCAAGGGAAAGGAGAAATTCCTGATTGCCTTAGTTAGAAATACTGACACACTAGTTTATCTTACGAATGATCATATCCAGTAGCTTAACTAATAACCTGCACCATTGTCTATTCTACAGTGAAAAGAAAATTTGAGCACAAACATGACTGAACAATGAGCAGATGAAAATGTTTACATTGTTCTAAAAAATGGTTTCTTTTCAACTCTAAATATTCTGCTTTTCAGAAATCAGTCTTCTAAGAATAACCTGTAAACTCATTAATTTGCTCAAAAGTACCAACTTTAAAAATGAAAAAAAGGGCTTCCCTGGTGGTGCAGTGGTTGAGAGTCCGCCTGCCGATGCAGGGGACACAGGTTCGTGCCCCGGTCCGGGAAGATCCCACATGCCGCGGAGCGGCTGGGCCCGTGAGCCATGGCCACTGAGCCTGCGCGTCCGGAGCCTGTGCTCCGCAACGGGAGAGGCCACGGCAGTGAGAGGCCCGCGTATCGCAAAAAAAAAAAAAGAAAAAAAGGTAAAATATCAAAGCTCATGTCATAAGAATAGCTTATAATAATTTTATTCTAATATGGTGCTCTTAATACTTCAGTCAAGAGCTCATTATTGTATATTTGAAAGCTTTATGAAACTGCTTTACCTTTTTCCTATATAATACTATTGAAAATGTTATTCAAATAAGTTATAGGCTTCATGTATCCACTAAAATTTCACCATAAAATAAATCATTTGGGGCTAAGACACAGTTTCTGTGAGCAGAGAAATATCTAAAAATATGCAAAAAATAAAAAGGGCAAAGAAAACGAGTATTTTTCAGGCTTCTATAAAATATAATGTGCGATTATTCAGTTTTGGCCTACGGTGCAGTTTATCTTTTTTGCATGATCATCTGAGGAGAGGGAAAGGCAGGGAGGAAGGGGAGTGGCTTGGTAAGCAAATGAAGAATGCCCTGCTTGGCGCTGTTTTGAAGCACTTGAGAAGTTTGCAAACACTGTAATTGCAACACAAAGGCCACCCCTACTCAGCTCGACCTTTGATATGAAAACTACAGATTGCTTCTTCCTTTAATAAAGCAGCATCTCTAGAGAGCAACATTTGGGTCCTGCTGGTTTTGGAGTTAACACCTTTCTCCTTTTTCAGAGGACATTTTCCTCCTAGTAAATTTGGATCACAGGTGGTTTTACTGCTTTGCCTTGCGGCTCCTTTGCAAGCCACCAAGCAGCTTTAGTGCACTGGCCTCCCAACCCAGTGAATCATTAAAACGGGTGGGGGTCAGATGGGTGGGTACATGAAGGGATTTCCAAAACTGGAGATTTTATTTCCATCCCTTAAAAAAAAAAATCCCTTAAGCTGCCTTTGAACTTTGAAAGATAATTTTTGGATTATCGTTTTCTTGTTATTTGCAAGGTGTGAACAGTGGCCATGCTATATCCATGAGCTGTAAGCTTAGTGGTATGTAATAATTTTGTGGAAAATATTCTGTGGCCTCCCAAATAAATAGGTACACGTAAAGTCAATTTACCCTCTAGAAAACGCTGTCTTTAACAATTTGACACTGGACTGAGTCCCAAGTATTCAAGGACTCAAGCAACTCCAATGACCAGCCCAAGGAGGAACTTGGCAAACAGAAATTTTCTATGGAAAGACTGGCCTCAGTGTATCAGGAAAGGGATGGCACACCAATAGGGTAAATGAAGAATATTTAATCAAGGGACTACCTAACAGTGTGAGGTCAGGGTTATAGGTAGGAAAAAGTGGCAGAGCGCCAGTATCACCACTAGACCTGAAAGGCAAGGTGAGGAAAGCAGTTACTGGGACCCGGAGAAAGAGGGAGCTCCAGTTGATGAAGAGCTACACCATTGGAGGCTTTTCCCAATTGAGAAACCAAGCTGCTGACAGCCCACCCTCTGCTATGGAAGAAAATCCCCAACTTCCTTCCCCTGAGCTCTCTAATCTTCTCCGTGCCTGTGTCTCTGTTACAAAGCTTAAAAACTTTCCAAAGGGCAAATGAGTCCCTCTCAGGTCATAGGTCGAGGTTGAAATGAGGTTTTTTTAGAGGTCAGGTCTCTTCTTAGGTCACGTAGTTTCTCCTGCACATAAAGAAACTAAAAAAAAAAAAAAACTAAAAGAGAAGTTTGTAGTCTTTCTCTATTCTTTCAATATCTGAATGATTTTGTGGCACATACTTCATGTTTATTGGAAAAAAACGTCCCTCGTTTGTTCTCTAGTTTTTCATATAAAACACATATGCAAATATTTGGAAATGAAATCCTATGACTCATCTCTTTCTCTTGTAATTACGCTCCATAGATGTAGAAAATTGTTTATTTTCCCCTTTGAAGTGTGATACAGGGTTGAAAGTGCAGTTTCTCTGGAAATGAGTACTTGCCTGAGGGGTTACATGAGTTCTACACGTCCTGTGCTCTTGAGCTCTGTCACCCTCCTGGTCATAGTTTCCCTCATTCGCTTTCTCTGGGTAAGGCTTTATTTACCCAGATTTGTCTTACAGCCAAATACTAATTTTACGGTTTTGGTAAGTGTCTAATCCATATCTACATCTCAGTGGTAACAGGATGTTAAGCAGGGCTCTTCCTGTTTGGGTTTTAGCTGAGACCCAAACCAGAGGTGACAAGTGTGCTGCCACCTCACAGTTGAGGTGCTGACTAGCGGGACTTGTACAGGAGGGGCTCTTGCTTCCATCTGCTAACCATCTGATTCCAGCGTATAAAGCTTGAAAAGCTCAAGAGAGAAGAAGGGGTTTCCGAGAGGATTCTTTAGAGAGAGAGAGGCATCAGAATACTTGTGGTTCTTTCTGGTGAGAGAGGGTCGAGAGGTACATCTTTGTTTCCTCAAGTGAGAGGGGTTTTAAGGCCACACAGAGACTTTCATAGGTACGCCATGGAACTATGGAAGTACGGTAGACTGCAGTCATGCCTGAAAGCCTCATGAGGACAGGTGTCTAGCTGAAGTGGCCCACAGTGACGGAGGAAAGCACTGCTCTTGGAAGTAACTGCATGGCCCACAGACAGAGGCCCACACGGGGAGCCACGTATAAGTGCTGTCTGAGTGGTTTGGGGGGTTCTTCCCAACAAGGCTTTGGAGGGTCAAGGAGGCCTCGTCACAAAGAGCCCGGATGTGACCTCCAGAGACTAAGAAGTTGCGGAATGTAAATGAGACATCTCTAGTGATGTGGGATCTCAGAAGAACCCAAGAAAATATCCATAAAAGAGTCACTTTAAACACCTGCCAAATGCAGAGAAGTGAAAAGTCATGGACGTTTCAGCGGGGAGGGAAAGAGCTAGGCCCACAAAACAGCTGTGAATGGCTGGGAGAAGAAAAAGAATAAAGTTCTTCTGTGATTTGTAAATATAAGTTTTACTTTGTTTAAAAAAAAAAAAAATGACTCAAATCTCCTTACATGTAGTGGGCATTCTTTTGTCAGGTGGAGAGAGCCTATGGAGGTCCTTTACAAAATGCTGTGTCCTACGCATCACACACACGTACACAGACTCCCGACATCTGAACGCTACAGAACACTTCTCTATGGATTTCAAGCATCCTTTCTATTAATTAACAAGAATTTGTTACAGGCAGTGTGCAGAAAACTAGTGCAATAATTGGAAATCTGTGTTTCAGCTAGGTGGTGATTTACAATAAACAAGGACTTGGAATTTTCTTGACTGCTCTTCAAATATATGCCTCTGATCAGAGAGGGGTCACACATACATAATGCAGTTTCTACCTCTCTGTCCTCTGTCCTTATAGTCTTTTCTAAGACTCAGAATTTAGGCAACAGCTCACACACACACACACACACACAAAAACAAAAACAAAAACAACCTCAGGCCTTAGAGTGCTTCTCTTTGTGCCAGAACACATTCTTTGGGGTCAGAAAAGGGTGTTCTCCCTCGAGAAGACACATTTCAGCCCCATCCTATAAACCCTCTTCTTAAAACATTTCTCTTCAAGTGTTATGACCTCACTGTAGCCTCTAAGTCCTTTCATATGTCTCCCTCAAATTCCCCTTTCCAACTTCCCTATTCTGGTAAATGACAGAACTATTTTCCCTAGTGACCAGTATCAAAATCATAGTCATGTTTTACTTCTTCTTCTACTTTGCCCTTAATGTCCAAGCATCCCTCTTTATATTTTCCAAACACCTCCCACAGCTATACCTTTCTTTGCAGTCTTATAAAGTGTCACCTGTTGCCTCAATTTGTTCGGTCTTCAAAATTGTTTTTTCAACTTCCAGTTCTCCCCTCTTCTGGTTTATCCCACTCACAGCAGGAAAATTACTCTCGCTAAAACACAACTTCTGTCTGTCCCTCTGTTGCTTAAGAACATTCTGTGGCTTACCACTGCCCTCGGAATAAACATAAAATTCGGAGCAAAACTATAACATCATCTATGATGCCGCTTCTCTTCACCTCGTCAATTATATACTTCACTCCCACTCTGTAAAATGCCTTCATGTCCTCAAAGGCAATTTCATTCATTCACTAAAAAAATGCTTGCAATTCTGCTAGGTGCTGGGGATGCATCAATGAAAACGAAAGCCCCAGTCCTGGAGCACACATCACTGGAGTCTAGAGGGACATGCGCACAAGAAAACAAGTTTCACTCTGGGAAGTACAATATACTATTGGATAAGAGAGGCGCATAATATCCAGGCGTGGATTATCAAGAGAAGGCTTCTCAAAGGAAGTGACATTTACACTGTGGCTTGAAGGCAAAGCAGCAATTACCCAGGTAGAGAGTGGACAAGCAGTGCCCCAAGAAGAAGGCAAAGACTGTGTGAAGGTCCAGAGGTGAGACTGAGCATGGTCTGTTCAAGTAACTGAAAGAAACTCTGCTCTGTTGGAATTTAATATAGTGGTGCCTAAGAAAGAAGAGAACAAATTTGGAAAGCCAAGACAAAACATGTAGACTTTATTCTAAGAAAAATGTGGAGCTACTGGACATTTTTAAAGAAGGAAAATATAATGAGAAGATTTATCCAAGAAATTACACTCTGGCTGAAGGTGCAGAATGGGCCAAGAAGGGATGCAGAGGACCAGGGAAAAAGCCACTTCTAGACCTAAATGTAAGTTTATGGTAGCCTAGATTTGAGTAGTGGGAGTGAGGATAGATGTAAACCACTGAAATTAGAAAGTGCTTGAGATAAAAATGATAGGGGTTCTCATTAGCTGTGAAAATGGTAAGTCAAGTGGAAAACCAGATTTCTTTTTTGGGCAATTGCAAGAATGACGGTCTCATTTACTAAAATAGCAAACATAAATGGAATGGATTTGAGATTAGAGAGGTTGGTTTAATTTTTGACAAGTTGATCTGGAGGTGTCTATGAGACTTCTAAGTGAAGCAGCACTACAGACAGACAAGGAAGTGGGCATGAAGCTCAGGAGAAAGGGCTGGGGCCAAAATATAGTCTTAGGAATTGTGAAGATGGTGGTGAAAGCAATAGGAATAGATGAGGCCACCCAAGGGCACTGAGAGGAAAAGCAACCTTTGAAGAGCCATAGCCCTGAAGAGCACCAGCATTTTAAAAAGGCATAGAAGGACTTCCCTAGTGGCGCAGTGGTTGAGAGTCCACCTGCAGATGCAGGGGACACGGGTTCGTGCCCCGGTCCGGGAAGATCCCACGTGCCGCGGAGCGGCTGGGCCCATGAGCCATGGCCGCTGAGCCTGCACGTCCCGAGCCTGTGCTCCGCAACGGGAGAGGCCACAACAGTGAGAGGCCCGCGTACCGCAAAAAAATAAATAAAAGTAAAAAAATAAAAATAAATAAAAAGGCATAGAAGGTGCAAAAGAAGTTGAGGAAGAAGACAAACAGATTGCAGTGGCATCAAAGGACCACAAAAAGGAGAGTGTTCAGAAGAGGCCAACATTTTTCAGTGCCATTAAGAGCCTAAGATAAAGCTGCAAAGCTGCACAGTAGGTTTGGCACTGAGGTTGTGCTGGCTCTCACCTCTGTGTCCCCAGCCTTCTTCATCTTGCTCCATGCCCAGGAGTTTGCCCAGTGTGGATGGCCCCCATTAACTCTATCCTATCTTCTGTTGGAGTTAGACCAATGATGGGCACTGGTAGAAGATAAGAAGGAGGGAAGAAGGGAGGAGAGGATATTTTCCCCTCGGCTTCTTCTTTGTGGATTTGCTTCCTTGACCTAAGGTCACAGTTCCTGTCAGGTAGTTCTCTGCTCACCCCTCTTGGGGTAGGTTGGGAAAGAGCTTCCTGCATTTATTAGCTCTGGAGTATCAGGCTATCCCTTGAGGGTTCACTGTACTCTACCAATGGATTTTTATTGTCTTTTTAAAATAATTTATTAATTTATTTATTTATTTGTGGCTGTACTGGGTCTTCCTTGCTGCATGAAGGCTTTTCTCTAGTTGTGGCGAGAGGGGGCTACTCTTCGTTGCAGTGTGTGGGCTTCTCATCGCGGTGGCTTTTCTTGTCGTGGAGCATGGGCTCTAGGCCCGTGGGCTCAGTAGTTGTGGCTCGCAGGCTTCAGGAGCTGTGGCACGCGAGCTCTAGAGCGCAGGCTCAGTAGTTGTGGCGCACGGGCTTAGTTGCCCCACGGCATGTAGGATCTTCCCAGACCAGGGCTCGAACCCATGTCCCCTGCATTGGCAGGCGGATTCTTAACCACTGAGCCACCAGGGAAGTCTCTGTCTTTTTTTTTTTAAATTACATTCTCTTCAAATTATCCCAGCTTGAATGTCCCACCTCTTTTCTTTCGGAAACTTGATTGACACAATGGTCATTTGAGACTTTGCTGGGAGGCCTTTCTGGGGTGTGGTGGAGGCAGAGGCCAAATTACAGATGGATCAGAGTGTAAGTGGGAGGCGAGGAAAAGGAAATGGTAAGGAGAGCAGTTTTTCTAAAAGATTGGCTATTAAAGGGTTCAGATAGAAGGGATAGGGACCATAGAGAAACATCCAGAGAGGTTTTATGGATTTTTTCTTGACGTGATCACCAAATTATTTGTGAGAATAAGTCAGTATAGGAAGAGACGTTGAGGATACAGTGAAAGAAAGAAGCACTGGAGCATGGTCCCCTAAGAAGTAATATGACCCCCACCAATAGAAGGGTGAATCTGAGGCAGAAGGGAGGGAGGCACATATGGCTGGCACACAGGGGAGTCTGTACTATGAATGGGAGACTGAGGCTATTCTGCCTTGATGGCTTCTCTTTTCCTTGTGAAGTTGAAAGTAAGGTACCTGATGAAAGTGAGAGTGATGAGGTTGCAGATTTTAAAAGAAAAGAGAAGTTCTAAGTATTTTGAAAAAATAGGATTATCAGAACTCTTTGAGAAGTCAGTTGAGTCTGAAAATCATGCATTTAGGCTCGCACCAATGTGTAAGTTTGTTTGAAATTTCCCCGGAGGCACTGAGCAGTGTGGGTTCTTTCAGAAAAGGTGAAGAATTAGACTGGGCCAAGGCTGGGTTTTTCCATATACTTAAACTGAAGGACAATCGGAGAAGAGGGTAGAGGGATTAGGAAGCAAGCATTTGAAATAATGGAGCATAGAATTTAATTTGGATAGAGAAGGTAGTGAAAGAGAGAAGGGTCTAGTCAAGAGACTAAATGTCCCAGAGAGACTGAAGACAGACATGGTGGGGCTAATAGAGTGGGACTGGTGATCAGAGAGCTGATGCTTGAACTTAATATTTCAGTAGAGCCCTTCTGAATACGGACAAGGTCCTGGATGATGGCTGATGTGGAGAAAATATAAAGGTCCTTGGACATTAGCCTTGATGGGTGATCCATGGGATAGATGGTTGCCATTCCTCAGGTAATGTCTTCTTTGCATAACCTGACTTTCTTTTTCAAGCATATTATTTATAATTAATGCCTCATATGCCATTTATCAAATTGCTGTAAATCACAAATATACATAGTAATATTTAAATGTGAGAGGGTTATTCTTCACAATTCCAGTTTTGAGTCATTTAAATCCTTTACTTAAACATATTAACTTCAAAAATATCTTTTTAAAAAGACAAAACAGGTGGGTTTCTTAAACCAGGCTGCCCAGAAAAGTTCCTCATTTGGTTTTCTAATTACAAAAGCACAGAAGGAAGGTTTGGTTTGAAGTTTTAATTTACCAGAGCTATACCGGATTAGTTTTTCTACATGCAATCCAGTATTTGACAGTTGTTAAATATTTGCTTTAACCATGAATTTATTTTGAGTACAACACAATTGCACCTACTATCTCTGCATGACTCTTTTAGGAATTGCCATACACTCATAATATTTAACTAGAACAATGAATGATTTAAAAATAGAAAATGCACAAATTACTGTACTCCCTTGGAAACACATAAGCTCTGACAGAAAGTGGAATAAAGTGGTTGTACAAAGAGCTTCAACATAATTTTTTTCAAAAAACCTTTTCTTTTTGTTAGCTTGAAATATATTTAGCTCTTCAGTGGGATCTCTTTGGAATACACACTCAAAATCCAATACTGTGCATCAAGCCTATGATAGTGGGCCTTAACTTTTTTCCCTTTGAAATAGTAAGTTATTATATAATAATGATAATAAAGATTCACATCTTTGAAATTCATAGACATGTGCACATATTTATGTATATGGACCTGTGTATAAGTTTGTCTATATACATATGTGTGTGTCTATCTTTCAATTTAGCTTTAGATCTAGATATATATCTAGATATAGATATATACTAATTATATACTTATTCTGATCTTGGTATAAGAAGGTGACACTATTACATTGGATAAAAAGTTGTGATGGTCATTTTAAACTGGAAGCATCCTCTTACTCAGTTTATTATGTGACCAAAGAGTAACTTAGGTGATGGAATAAGGATACAGTGGGTTTCTGGCTGGAAATAAAGATACAGTGTGTCTTGGTGCCAAGAAAACAGATATGTTCAATTGAACAAACATGAACTTGGTCTCATTAACTTCATGATATAAATCACTGTGACAACCATTCAGTCATTCATGAAACATTTATTGGAGGTCCACTCTGTGTTAATCCCTGAAGATAAAGTAAGTAAGATATGGGATTTGCCTAATACGGATCGGGTTTGTAACTGATCGATTTTATTTAATGTCTTGTGTTTTATTTGTGGAAAAGATATATATTCATCCTGGAAATGTTTTTTATAAACCAATGTATGCCAAGAATTTTTTAAAATTTTAGTAGTTTTTAGTTATAAATTACACTGATTCTCATACATCACTCCTATTTACTTTATGAAAACTATGTCTTTCTATGTTGTCCTTTCTATGACCCAGAGCATATTTTGTTGATTATTTATATTTTCTTCAAAGTCTTACAGATTATTATTGTATTTCATAGCATTTCTTTTGATCCTAGGAAAAAAATATTTGTAATTACCAACAAATACTAAGATTTAAATGTAAAAACTCTCCATGTCTATGTATATAAGCTGAATTTTAGAAGAATGAGAAGAAAAATGTGGATATTCCAACTATGGGGTTTTGCTTTGATTCATAAATTGTTTTCCCCTCAACCATTACAAACTACAGATGCTACAGATGTGACCAAACACTGAGCGTTAAGCAACTAAAACTGTTCAAGCATGATTCCTGCTTTGTTACCTTTCAAAACCTGTAACAATCCTCTACTCATCAATAATCTTCTGCAATGACAGATTTTCTGACCATTTCCAGGTGCATTTGAGGAGCCAGAATATAATATTTCTATATTAATGACAATGATTAAAGCACTAACTTAAATTATAATTTGTTTAGGAAATATTTGAAATATGTAAAGACTACCAATAATCTTATTTATTATGCTAGCTAGTTAAATACCTAATTTTTTAATTGCTAATCACATTGATTTTAAATACCAAAGATTTGGTTATTCATTTACATATTCATTAAAAACATTTTACAACATCCTCAAAAATTAAGTAATATCCCTACTACTTCAATGCTAGCCACTGAGTGTACAGTGGTAAGTAAATAGAGTCCAGACACTCACGGAGCTTCTAGTCTGAGGCTGTATTATTCAGCCTTGGGTGCTTGTTAGAAGTACAGATGTCTGGGCCTTTGTTCAGAAGATATGGGATTTGGACTAGGAAACTGCATTTTTTAAAAAATCATCCCAGGAGATTTTGAAGCACATTCTCAAGTCTCCTTTTGATGGCTAGTCTTTGAGAGTGGATCTTTTGAAATGTTTATCAGATCATCATTCTTCTACTTAAAACCATCCAACAGCTGCCTGTTGAGTTTAAAAATTTCCAAACTGCTTAGCACAGCCCCTGCCTTCTTCTTTAACCTCCTTTGGCCAAGCTTTTCCTAATTGGTGAAACCGATTTTACTGGCTTGCTGTGTTCCTGAAAGCCAGCAACCTCATCCTGTGCTCAGGGCCTCTGCCTTTACTATTCCCTCTGCTTGGAATCCACTTCCTCTATATTTTCTCATCATTCAGACCTTGACTCAAACACCACCTCCTCATTGGCTTTTCTAGTCCACTCTTACCCTGGGATTCTCTACCAAATGCTTCCTACAATTGCCTGATATGACACATCTGAGCAACGTGTAAAATAATGAATTTATAGGACTCACTCCACATGTCATCAATCTCCAAGCCCAGGAATCTGCATTTTTGACAAGGCACGTAGGTGAGTCTTATTATCAGGCAAATCTGGAAAACTGCACTACCAAATGTTCTAATTATCATTTTCACAGACGCTATCACTGTCAGAAAGGAGCTTTGTCTGGGTGAGAGCAGGAACTTTAGGTTATTCCATTCTCTGCTCTCAGGACTTGTACATGGTCTGGGCACCTTGTAGAAATGGCTTAATAACTGTTTCTTGACTGAATGGATGAAACACAGGTCTAGGGGAATCTCCCCATCTGGTGTTTACATGGAAATAATTGGCACTGTTTTTAGGGTTTAGCTATTGTTGTTAAAGATGGAGTTTAATTTTTAAAGGTTGATGTCAAGTGATTTCAACCTTCCTTGAGCCACAAAAGTATCTGTAGTTTGATACCAAAATAAAAATCTGAAATTTTTATTGTTCTTCCAATGGCTATGTTGATACTCGAGTGACCTCCAAGGAAACTCAGTCTTAGATTTGATGGTTGTTCAAAACGAAGTGATCACTGACATCCAACTGAAGTGTCAGAATACCTAAGTAGTTATATTTTTAGGCTGAATTACAGAGGTTAAAAAAATGAGAAATATATGATAGCTACAATACAGTTAGTTGCAAAGAAAAAGAAATCTACGCGTACAGATACTGGTTTAGAAGATTTCCATAACAGGATGTTTTTGTCTACTATAGCCAAGTAACCCCTTTAAACCTTTCATCTGGTTGTTTATGACTCATACCCATAAGGCCCCAAAGACCAGCTCCTCTCAGCCAAAGAAGATTATCAGTGGAATACACAAGTTTTTCTCAGTGTGAACTTGCATTGCATATGCGCCCTTCATTGTTGTAACAACATGAGCACACCTGAGAGAGGGAGAGGGGAACAGGCAACTATTTGTGATAGTTGGTGCACCCTAACTACAGTGCAAAACACATGTTGTTTTGCTCGCTATCTTGGTCAAATATTTGATACCCTTAATGAACACTCAGAAGAATCTCTCAACTCCCAAAGGGACTGTAACTTCTGAATTCCCTTCGGTTAATCATATTGAAGAAGTTCAATAATTATTTGTTAGTTAATGAAATAGTCTTAACTGATTGAACAAAGTGTTTTCATTAAGTTAAGTAAAAAACATTTTTCTACTATCTTTACTCCCTAGCTTAATATTACTAATAAGCATAAGATGACACTTGATAATGCTTTCAAATCTCCTATAGAACCTGATTAAGGCAAAAGAAGTAAACAAACAAACAAAAGCAAAACTAAACACAAACACACACAAAGAATTCAAACAGCTCAGCTATTTTGTTAAAATTCATGATTTTCAGTTTGTTTTCTCTCTTTTCTCAGAAGAGATGTTGATGTTAGTTTGAAAGATATTACTTACTCATCAAAATTGTGGCCCAATATAATATCTCTATTAAGTTGAATCTTAAAGCCCTCCTAGACACTTCGGATCTAGCTTCTTTTTAGAAGTCTCTATAGCGATTTGAGGCTTATTTGTTAAATGTGAGAGAGGAAACAGTAACATAAATTAATAAATAGACACACAAAATATTAGTATATGATTTCAAAAGATTACACTGAAAATAATCTTGGCCCTACACAGATTTAGTAGCACCTATCGATTAGGGAGGAACACGGTGAATGACTAAAAGGTCTGAGAAGGTAGATTTTGGAGTCAGAAAGTTTTCTGTTTTATCACTCACTACTGATTTTCTGCCGTCATCTTGGGAAGAAGCTTAGTTTTCTTAAGCCTCAGTTTCCTAATCTGTAAAATGGGTATACGACTTAATTCCTGAGGATTTTCTGAAAATTTAATTAGATAGTGTTTATTAAACTGCTCAGGAGGGGTCTGGTATAGAAAAGGGCTCAGGAAATTGGTGCCATTATTTAAATTAGTTTAAAATTCTATGAATTCTCCACCTTCATTTTGGGAAGGCAGTGTATATTCCATATCACATAAGTTGAATATAAACACACATGCATACTAGCTTTATATATTGCAATTATAATGTATGTATACCTATATATGAAGTTTGTATAAAAATGAGTGTGTCTGTAGCCCTAGACAGCTCTGTATATGTGTGTATTTTGGAAATGTAGATAGTTGCATCAAGTTCATTAAAATTGAAATTCATTTTAGGGCTAAGAATTAACATTTTATTTTCTCTCTAAAATGTCACACCAC